ATCTATCTAAGAACTACTCAAAGTCTAAAACTTCGGAAATTTTCTTGAAAGAAATGGCAAGTTAAAATTTAAATCATTAAGGCATTTTAGAATATAGCAAAAATAGAGGAATTAAACAATTAAAATTTGCTCGATGAAAAATTATAACCAGCATCACCCATAACCTTTTTAATTCACTTTATCACAATCTACTGGAATAAAGGTGTCCAACAAAGTTAAGAGAAAAAATAAAAAATAATTAACTAGGTTGATAAATATTTGAATATGCAGCAATAAGGGGCAAAAAATTTCCCGACATTACATAATGTAAACGAGTCCACATCCCTAACATCCTCAAAAAAATGCCTCACATAGACCACCATGCAAGCCATCAGCTAATCTCGTATTAGACATCCTAAAGTATAGAGGACATGACACCTAGCTCGAGATACAAAAAGCCCTTTATTATGATTGCCAGGGTTGGTCAACCTCCCACCCACCCAATTGTAAGTTAAAGAAAACTCTTTTATATTTGCAGTTGCTAAATGCTGTAACACAATATGACGTTTCATTATATATCAGATAGAAGTATTAACCCTTTTCCACTGGTTGACTTTTGTTGCAAAGTTCACTACATACACTCTCTCGAACAGATAGAACTGATCTTTGGAAGTGAAAAAATTCATTCTGAACTAACATAAAACATTATAAATTAGTAACAATAATAAAAATGATGGTATGATACTGTAACTTAAGACATCTCATCATGGAAATTTGGAAAATGCCATTGTGACAGAAGAATCTTGCCAGAGTCTTTGATAAAAGGTAGTGTGGCAGGATGTGGTTAGATGGAAAAGCTGATTGTATTTTAAATAATCCAATGATGGAATGTCATGTGGTATTATGTCAACCTTTATGTCAAGGATTATGTCACTGTATTCTAAGACTTTCGTTGCCCAGTCCGGTGGACCTTTTCTCAACTCAGCATAACCCATTTCCTTATTCTAGATACAACATTTGTAGGCAATTTTAAAATTTGATTCTAATACTTAATTTGAATTGCCATGACAATGAAAGCAAAAATCCTTATAGGAACTCAAGGATATTGCGAGTAGAAACACAGGTGTAACAGAGTTGAGGTTCCACCAAATAAGAAAGGAAGAAGTCAATGAAAAATTATGGCGAGAATCAAAGATGCAAATTGGAGCATGAGGAAATACTATAGAGAACTTAAATCCCATCTGACCTTTGTATCTGCTTGTATTCCTAAAACTCCATTCACTAAGTCAGGAGACCAGCACCGTATAAGCAGCAAAGTACAAAGATCTCTAGAGTCAAGGTCACCCTCATAGATCCCCATACCATAGTACAGAAATTAAGCTGCTATTCTATTAAAATTAAATATTGAAATACTGAAGAGAAAAATGACAGAATTACAAAGAAATGAACCAAAAGGCAAACGATTGCTAAACTTTCAAGAGGTTGAGCTTATCTCTCATTTCTCAATCTATTTTCTAGATGCATGAAATGAAATTCATAGTGCCCTATTTATATGGTTTGTATTACCATTTAATTTATGTTCCCTTACTACAAATGTAAAACAATGTATGATTTGATTCCTTCCCGTTACTACAAATTAAAAACAATACACGTAAAGACAATGTACATAAATTAGTGAATTGAATATGATCTTCCCCTGTCCTTAGGTGGATGTGTTGGTCAGATTCATTGGTCTTCCATTTCTTAACTAATTCCCTCCCACCCCACTTCAAATTTGTTTTATGTACACATACTACTGCATTGTTTCATCCAAAAAATGTTCATGGGATTGATTATTGGCTTCATGCTTCGGATTTGGAGTTTTGGTCATAATCCAAAGACATTGATAACCTTTCTTTTTCAATCATTTTATTTGGATTCAACATGTGAGGATCATGCTTTCTTCATTCTTCTTTGTTTTATTTGCCGAATTTACGTTTAAATGTAAAATTTACATTATCCAACATTGTGTCCCACTAAAACTAAGTTTGTATTGGTCTTTGTTTTTAATCAACTCATTATTGTGTCCAACTAGGCTTTAATGTCTGGATGGTTCTTGGTCATTACTGGGCAAACTGAGTTTGGGTTTTACTTTTGAGTTTGTGAAATGAATCGAGATTGAACTGGAGCATGTTCTGGTCAACTCCGCACAAATAAGCTTGACCATTTTACGTGTTGTAGCATGCATGTGCATCTTTATATGATTGTGCAGGGTTATTTGCATGTTGCTTAAAGGTTGGAACATGCTATTTTCATCCTTGAAAATGTCATTGCATTTATATTTACATAATGCTAAGTACATTAAAAGTGATGATATATGAAGCCATGAGTATAACACTAATCATGTTTGTAAAAACCTGACCCTTCGTTTCTTGGAAAACCAATATGAATATGAAATGTAAATATCAATCCCAACAACTATGAAATCATTTGTTGAGATGAATTGTCGTTCTTAGCAATTAGGCTCTGAAATTCTTAACAGTTGACTCAATTATTTCGATAGTTGTTCCACAAGCAAATTTTTGTTCAGCTTCTATTCTCTTCTACGAGTGGTCTTAGGGTTGAAATGTATGACATATCATCATCTGAGCGCAATACTACTTCATGAAATGTTAACGTCACAATTATGAAACTATCCATGAAGATAAACTGTCTTTCTTGACAGTTGAGTCGCTTATCACAGCAATTAGTTCTAGAACCCTAAATTTGTTCAGTAGCTCATGTACATGTACTATGAATGAAATGTATGACATATCATCATCTTACCTTTTTACTTTCTTCATGTGTGTTTTGAATTAAAACGTATGACATATCATCATCTGACCTTTTTACTTTCTTCATGTTCCTTGTTCTTGCATATGACTTTCAAATTTCTAGTTCCTAAAGTCATGTGGTTGCACACTCACATTTCCCAGTTGAGCAACTCAAGTACATCAAAACTGTACTTAAGCATTTTGATGACGATCAGCGAACTGTTAAGATTTCTTAACTTTATGATTTGAAACTTGGTTGTTTCTTATGAAGGTGCCCACATATTAGGTACATGTCTAGACAGTCACGAAATTCCCTATGTTAGTGGTGTGATGGAGGTGGATGATAAGGTCAGTAATGGAGAAGTTATCCAATGTCAAATTCTTATATTATACATTAAGCATGTTTAGTTGAAAAATAATGTTTAATTTCAATGTTGGTAGAATTTTTTTATCTTCTTCCATTATTTGGTAACCAATACGACTCAAACCACTTTTACATAGGAGTACACGCTAATATGCCATTGACATCAATCATACCCATTCAATGTGACGATATTATTAACACAAAGAGGTGGCGATTAACACGCGTTTGAGTGCCTACTACATCAACTAGGACTCCGTTCATGAGAGAGAAGAGAAAGAGAGTCGAGCAAAGTTAAATCAAGCAACATATCAGATACATTCTAGGAGTTAACTAGGGGAATTAGTCACATATTCTCAAGGAAAGTATAGCTGTTGTTTTGAGTAGTTAATGACGTGATAATACTTTTGACTGCGTTTCTTTCACAATGGAATATTTATGTGTAGCTTTCTACTTTAAATTTCTTTCACAGTTCCAAGTAGTGATGCACTTTCTTTTATTTTGGTATAACCTTCACTTAAACTTTGTGTGCTTCTAGGGGAAATTTGATGGCAACACAGCTGAATTTGTTAATTTTATAACTAATTTATGCTTACGTTATCAACTATATTTATGTTTTCTAGTTTTTGCTAGGAATTTACTTGTTAATGTATGTACGTAATGTTATGCATCCGATTATTCGCTAGGCTTGAATTTTTAGTCTAATTCACTACTTTGCATTGAACTGTCAAAAATTATTGAGACAATCTATCGAGACCAATAGTTGAACCGTCGACAGTGAATAAAATATTTTGTCTATTTAACTACTTTGCCTCAAATGTTATTTCTACACGACTAATACTTACAAATGATATTGACCCAAAACCAATAATATAATATAAAATGTTTAACACCATTACTATGTGATGCGAAATACTACTTTAACCCTTAAACATCGTTCCTATTTACGTGCTTTGTGTTCGAACGGGGCTTGAACATATAGGGCGATTATAGCCAACTCTCTCATACTGATTGCTAATGCGTAGACTAAACTCGTATTATTAATCATACCTGAAAAGTTGATATTGCAATGATGAGCATTTTGCACAATCAAAATGTAGGCATTTAATAGCATGAAAGTGATAGTTTCGAAATAGTTAAAATGTGTATCTCAACATTTCGAAAATGTTCAATTTGACATTTTGTTTCGACGGCTTAACTATCGGAATTGACGGGAAGCATTTAATGGGTGTGATTGGAAGACATTTTTCATAATATCAAGTGTTGGTATCTTAATTTAAAAAAAAAATCTCAAGAACCAAGCCGAGTTAATGAATAATAATTTGAAAATTTTTAAATACATATGACTGTGTTGTATTTAACAATAAAAAAATAATAAGTTACGAGATAATAACATAAACAATTTGTAAATATCAATCTCCCAAAATGAAAGATGAACCGACTAATAATTTCTTCTTGTTGTTGGAATAGAGAAGATGTGAAGAAAGTAAGGGTTCTTTGTGTATAAAAATCAGTTTATACATTCATATGATTTTTTATTATTATTATTATTATTATTATTATTATTATTATTATTATTATTATTATTATTATTATTATTATTATACTTAACAATAATTTTTGGTATATTTTCAGAATTTGCAACATATATAAAAATGTCCCTTAAAATATTTAATCCATGTTTGATAAGAATTAAAATATAAATTTTAATTTAAATCAAAGTTAATAATTAATTTTAATTACATATTTGATATTTTATAAAATCCATAACTTTTAACTATATATTTCATTAATTTTTATCTGAATATGTTCAAAATTTAATTTTAATCACTACAGCTTGGCTCTCTATATATTGTACAAGTATTACGGTTCGCTGTCCGGTCCTAGGCCAAATGCATGTGTTCCATTAGACTATCATAATGCAAAACCAAACCCCGCCATTTTCCGCATCTCAGACAGAATTCTATGCATCCCTCCTCCAAACAAGCCTGAAAACCAACGACCCATTTACCATCAAACCAATCCATTGCCGCGTAATAAAGTACGGACTTCACTTAGGCGTGTACTTGATGAATAATCTGATGAATGCATACGCAAAAAAGGGGTTTATCCGCGATGCTCACCGAATATTTGATGAAATGCCTCTGAAAATTACATCTTCATATAACACACTTTTATCTGCATATGCTAAACAGGGCATGATATGCAAAGCTCGTTGTATCTTTCGTGAAATGCCCGATCCTGATTCTGTTTCTTGGACAGCGATGATTGTGGGATATAATCAATTAGGTCATTTTGCGACTGCTGTTTGGATGTTTTTGGAGATGATGAAACAGAAAATTCTGCCTACCCAATACACGGTTACTAATATTCTCGCGTCTTGTGCTGCCTATGAAGCTTTGGATATAGGCAGGAACGTTCACTCGTTTGTTATTAAACTTGGCCTCACTGGCTGTGTATCTGTAGCTAATTCTTTGGTAAATATGTATGCAAAGTCAGGTGACGTTGAGACCGCAGTTTTTGTTGTTGATAGAATTAAATTAAAGAACGTTTCAACTTGGAATGCCACAATATCATTGCATATGCAAATGGGTCAAGTAGACCTTGCACTGGCTCAGTTTGAGGAAATGACTGAACGTGATATTATTTCGTGGAATTCAATGATTGCAGGTTATAATCAGCATGGTTCTGATGTTGAAGCTCTGAATATGTTCTCAAAGATGCTCAGGGAATCTCGATTAAAGCCTGATAGATACACTCTGGCTAGTGTGCTGTCTGCTTGTGCAAATCTTGAGGAGTTAAAATCAGGGAAGCAAATACATGCTCACATCATTAGAAGCGAATTTGATACTGTGGGGCCAGTAGGGAATGCATTGATCTCCATGTACTCGAAAGGTGGCTGTATCAAAATAGCAGAAAAGATTTTAGAGCAGTTTGGAACATCCATTTTAAACGTTATAGCATTTACAGCCTTATTAGATAGCTACGTCAAGCTTGGTGATTTAGATCCTGCCAGACAGATTTTTGATTCATTAAAGGATCCTGATGTAGTTGCATGGACAGCTATGGTTGTTGGCTATGTGCAGAATGGCCTCAATGATGAAGCAATGACGCTCTTCAGATCAATGATCAAAGAAGGTCCAAGGCCTAATAGCTATACTCTGGCAGCTATGTTGAGTGTCAGTTCAAACTTGGCTTCTTTGAATCATGGTAAACAAATTCATGCAATTTCTGTAAAGTTGAGGGAAGCATCAGCGGTTTCTGTGAGCAATGCATTGATTAATATGTATGCTAAGGCTGGTAATATCAATTGTGCACGGAGGGTATTCAGCGTAATACAAATGAATAGAGATGCAATCTCTTGGACATCCATGATTCTGGCTTTAGCTCAACATGGGCACGGAGAGGAGGCCTTACAACTCTTTGAGAACATGCTGGAGATTGGTATTAGCCCAGACCATATAACTTATGTTGGTGTTCTTTCTGCCTGCACACATGTGGGATTGGTGGCTAAAGGTCGAAGTTACTATAAAATGATGAAAAATACCCATGGGATCGAACCCACCTCTAGCCACTGTGCTTGCATGATTGACATGTTTGGTCGTGCGGGATTGCTATGGGAAGCGCAAGATTTTATAGAGAACATGCCAATTGAACCAGATGTCATAGCTTGGGGTTCACTTTTAGCTTCTTGTAAAGTTCACAAAAATGTGGAGCTAGCGAAAATTGCTGCCGAAAGATTGCTTTCAATTGAACCTGATAATAGTGGGGCCTATTCAGCACTTGCTAATGTCTATTCAGCTTGTGGAAAATGGACTGAAGCCGCTCGGGTTAGAAAGTTGATGAAGGATAAGCAGGTGAAGAAAGAACAAGGAATCAGTTGGGTGCAAATCAAGACTGAAGTCCATGTCTTTGGTGCTGAAGATTTGCTTCACCCACAAAGAGATGCAGTTTATCAGATGATTGCAAAAATCTGGGAGGAGATTAAAAGAATGGGTTTTGTTCCTGATACTGCTTCAGTATTGCATGATCTTGATCAAGAATTGAAAGAGCAAATTCTTAAACGACACAGTGAAAAGCTCGCCATTGCATTCGCATTAATGAATACCCCAGATGGAACTACTTTAAGGATCATGAAAAACCTCAGAGTTTGTAATGACTGTCATTCAGCAATCAAATTCATTGCGAAACTTGTTGATAGAGAAATTATTGTTAGAGATGCTACACGTTTCCATCACTTTAAAGGGGGTTCATGTTCATGTCTTGATTATTGGTAAGTTTGGAATAATGTTATAAAGTATCCTTGTATGGATAGCAGAATGATTTGACAGTGGTTGAACGAGAATTGACAGACTTAAATGACGTTTGAAGCATAAATTTTTGGGATAGGCAGCAGTAGTTGCTGCAGATTCCGGTTCATGCACCAATTTGGATGATATTCTGAAGGTTTGCACCAGCTGAGGTGGAAGAATCTGGAATGGTCAATGAAGTCGTGGCCCTTCAAGAATTTTCTTGTTCAAGGTGAATACTTTTTGATTCTGTGATGGTGTATCTTCACCTGGGCTCAAAGAAGTGGATGCTTCAAACATGAGATGAACTGTAAACGTGTTTCTGCTCATTTTGATGTTTCTTGCAGTAATTGGGTCATATTTTTATAGAAACTTGAAGCAGCTGAAGTAGAATCTTTTATGGTAAATAATGTTGATATTCGTCTTGCCCAAGGAATTGCTGAAGCACTACAACTTCAAATCCCAGCAAATATTGCAGGGCATACAGGGACAATTATAGCTACCTTAAGGAAAAAATGTGGTATGCTAGGAGTAGTTGTCTTTACATTACACTACCAATCTTTATATAAAAAGTAGTTAATGTCAATATCTTTCCCGAGTAAACATATAGGTGGAAAGATGGATGAAAAATATTCGCCAAATTTATCGTTGAAAATCACTAATATTCTGTATGTTTTATCAGCAAAATCAATCTTTTTGTTTATTAAGGGCGTAACATAAATGGTTTAAATTATAAATAGATATATATGAGTGGTGGATAAGTGGATAATACTTGTGGGATTCTTGAAATGTGTGAATTAAAAGTAGTTTGACAGTTTATAAACATTAGCCAAACATTGAACATCAGACATTACCTGTTATTGCTATCAGTTTCACTAATGTTTCATGTCATTCTATGCAGGGACAGGATAGGATCCTCTTTTTTCCCATTTGTCCAGAGGTCTTAATGACTCGCATATGGCTCTCATGACATTTGGATTTTGCATTTAGAGCTATTAGCAGCAAACGGGACATGCTGCAAGAATGATGCTAGTGCAGGGAAATAAACCTAAACGAAGCAAGGCAATTGAATAACATTATGCCCTTGATTTTGGGGAGCTGCAGATAATCACTGGTCTCTATATGTACATGGCAATATTTTATATGCAGCATTGAATTGGACTAAAGAGTGTAATACTAAAAATTTTAGTTTTTTTTATTTTTTTTTAATGTGTCTAGTACTTTACAGTCCACCTCTATCAAACGCTCATCAAATTCTTCATACCGCCAACTGCCAAAGTGTAACTGTTCAAATGCAGTATGGTGTACATGGTCTTGTTGCCTACATTCTTCTTATCACCGATTGTAGTGGCATAAAGTTTGTTGTTTTTTGAATATCTTCAAAGAAGATGTGTACACCATATTTTTCTTCATTTTGCAATTGTTTTTGGCATCTAACAAAATTTTCTGCTAATTAAATGCTGTTGAAATTTACATACAATAATAATGGCTATTAAAATTTATGGAAATATATTAACCGTAAGCTAGAAGGCAGGTGAAATTTAGCCCTTGATTGGTTTACCTAAAAATCAGATATTTTTTAGTAGATTTTGATAAAATGTGATAACATATGTAATTGAAAAGTTGATAAAAGTTGTTAGTCTCAAAAAATATGTGATTGAAAATAAGTTAGAAAAATTAGGGTCAAACATGAACTTTGTTTGGTTTCTTGATTTGATATGATGAAGCTGAATCTTTAGAAGGGAGAAATAAATTAAAGAATTTACATTCTGTGTTGGTCAATCTTGATTTATATCTTCATTTTGAAGAATAAAAGTGTTGGAATGTACAAACCTAAGTTATTCCCTTTAATCTTGCTTCCCAAGTTCAATATCAGAGTTCGTTTTCAGTGAAATTCACTAGTTTAATTAATTTGTATTTCTCAAGTTTAAATCAATCATATTTAGCCCTTGTTTGAACTCCATTATTTACAAATCACATTTCAATTACACGTTGTCTCGTAAAATAATTTTACGCATAAATCTATTATAAATAATATAATTGGTGAATGATAATTATACACCTATAGTTTTATTTTTTTATTATCGCTGTATTCCTAATCCTTCCCTATAAATATGGTTTTGGTCATCAATAAAACACATACAAATCTATTAACTCTCTATTTTATAATACGTTATCAACATGAAAACTTAATTCTTCAAAGTGTAGTGAAGTTAGTAATTTTTTTAAAACATAATCATTTATCACATATATCAAAATTAGTTTGATAACATGTGAATTTTATATGCTCCCATTTGGCCCCCATTTTGTGGGAAAATTAATGGGTGGAATAATTATTTTTTTTTATAAAAATGAGTGGTTGAAAAAAAAAATATTTTTGATTTATGTGTAATATTATTTTATGGTAGATTGTGTGATTAAAAATAAAAGAGAGAAAAATGAAATGTAATGAAATAAAAATTAATGGGCCAAACGGGATATACAATCTGCCATAGTTTGTGTCCAGCCACAATGATTATGTGAAATAGTTCTCTTTCGCAATGATTATGTGATCATTTTCTGCCACAATTTTTTTCTTGTACTCCCAACTTCTTGCTTTTATTAGTTCGATTTCTCTTAATTAATTTTCTTGTTGCAATGATTACTTGATAATTTTCTCTTAATAATTTCTCTTAATTCCCGGTCAATGTATTTGTTTTTGTCTCTTAATATTTCTACCAACACATGTTTACACCCAACTTTTTGCCCAACTTTTGTTTTTTTTCATTCGTTATTATCTTCCTAATAGATTGAAAATTAAATACCTTACCGTGAAAGATCCACAGGTTCTTTAAAAAAAATGACTGAAAGATTTGATCATCAGAAAAATGTAGTCCTCGTCAAAGCCTATTATGTATGTGACGTAGCGGAAGATTATAGGTAAGATAAACAATCACAAAATGAGAAAACTCTCAAGAAAAATTTTATGGAATTCAATAACTGTCATCTCAAAGGGCTTACAACGCCTTAAATAGAAAAATCTAACAAAATTCAAAAAATATAATAAAAAAGATATTTTTCCAAAAATAGGAAAATATGAGATAATTACTAAGATGAAAAATCCTTATTTTAAGAATCATCCTCCAATAAACGGAATACAAATCCGAATTTTATGGAAAGATATATTGCAAAAATAAAAATTATCATAAATAGCAAAAATGCCTAAACGATGGATTTTACCCAAAATTGGCCTTGCATCAGGGCCAAAGGCTCTGTGTTTTATTCATTAGCTCGATTCCGATCGAATTAGACTAACAATTCGCTAAAAACGAACCAACCCGACGTTATTATGAAATCAAAAAAATATTATTTTGTCTTGTGACGGTCCCATTTTATCATAAACTCTAATCTCTTATACACTTCATCAATATGGATGCATCTTCGCTTGCATGATTTCAAAACTATTAGTGAGTATAATTCTGAATTGTTCAGAATATGTTCAAAATTGCCTTTGTGTGGAAAAAAATTACTGATGAAGATATATTGAAGAAAACGTTTTCACCTTTCATGCTTCAAATGTGCTGGTTTAGAAGCAACATCATGAGTATAATTTCAAAAAGTAATCAGAACTCATGTTTTGCCTATTTGTAGCTTAACAAAATAATGATGGGCCAAAATAGAAAGAAGTCATACAGGTAGAATTGAATTCTCTAGAGAAACGAAAAGTGATTGAAATCGTAATTTTAGCACTTAAAAACTACCGCAAGTGTACGGTTCGTAACAAGTAATAAAGTGGATTTTTAAAAGTCTGAATATCGTCTCTCAGAGATTGAGTAGTTAAATTCTATTTAATCTAGCCTTAATCGAATCTAATTGAGTGAAAATGTGATCTAAGTGCAAAAAACCCCAATTTCAACTAAAAACCCTAATTTCAAAACCCTAATTTCAATTGAAAACCCTAATTTCTCAATTAGAAACCCTAATTTCGAAATTTCTCTAATTAAACGACTTAAACATTCAAGTAAATGAAATTAAGCAAGTTTAAAAGCTAATTTATTAAAATGAATCAAATTAAAGTCACTAGGATCACGAATCCCTAATTGAAGTTATAAAAATCCTAATTTCATAAAATTAATGATTCGATGAAAATTTGCCAATTCAATGTTCCTATTCTATCCAATATACTCTCTCGATATATATTAGACCTATTCTTGCACACCATCAGCCTATATCTCTATGGATGATGCAAACATACAAGAATGCATGTAGTTTTGTGAACAATTTAAGAATTACATAAAGCATAGGGGTATATCTCTATCCCCTATCGGACCCTATGTTAATTTACACCTTATCGAACCTATTCCACTTCTCTCGAATGTAAGAAACAAGTCATCAATACTCACACAATCATTGGCCACTAATTGCGGAAGAAAATTAATGCATGTAAATCAATCAAAATATCCAACGAATCTTTATATCAAGTTCATGAAATATAGAATTAAAATAACAAACAACGGTTCATCGATCACCTAGTAATTAAAACCCTAGCCTAGAAGATTCATAATTACAGAAAACAAAACGAAATTAATAACTAGAAGGAATAACACCCGTATGAAAGTTCTTGAAATTTGAATTCTTGAACAAAACCTTGAAAACCCCTTTGAATCCTTGTGAAATCGGCTTCAAGTTTGTGTTCCTTGTCTCCAAAAGTTGTATTCTTCTTCTCCCTGGACGTTCTGCCCTTTTTCTGATGAATTTTGACTTTTATATCATGTCCCCACGGAGCCCCGAAAGAGTTTCAATTAAAAACACGATTTCAGAATTTTTTATCGCACTTAAAGCCATGCGGCCGCATGGTGTTAAACCATGCGGTTGCATGGTTCTATTTTTCAGCTCATTTGGATCCCTGCAATACCCTGTGCGGCCGCAAGGAATTATAACCATGCGGCCGCATGGTTATAAAATTTTTCCTCCAGACAGTTTTCAGTATTTTGGTCATAACTTTCTCTCCCGATCTTTGATTGAAGTGATTCAAAGTGCATTGGGAAGAAAACTCAAAGATGTACACTTTTGATAGAAATAGGCTTCCTCAAATTCTAATGTTTACTATGCCAAAAATGAATCTTAAGTAGAGACTCAAAATCACGAGCATAACTTTTTCGTTTGAAATTTGATATTTGATAATACTTCGACCATATTTCACCTCTTGACTCCTTTCCTCATCCGATTGAACTTTAACACTCTTGAAATCTGGATGCATGTGATATAATCACCTTTGCGAATATTTGTTGAAGAGATGTTACAAAAATGACGATATCTATCCATGTATTTTCATAAAGAAAATAAATGTAAGATTTGCATTTGTGACAGTTCATATTGATGATTTAAATTTAAGTGTAACTCTTGAAGAGCTCAACAAATTGTAGATTATTTGAAAAGAGTAATGCTATTATATTCGCTCACTGTGGTAATCACCTTATGTGGCATCCTACATAATGGTTTGTGATTTGATATATTAATGTGATAGTTTTTTTTGGCTACATATATCAAATCACTAACTGTGATATCCATGCCACGTAAGGTGAATGCGATAATGAGTGATTGCAAATAACATTATTCATTTGAAAAATGAATTTTAAGGTGAAAGATTTGAATAAAAATCAAATTTTGTCTTGAGCTGCAGATTGAACATTTTTCAAAAGGATTTTTTTTTTTTAATCAACGACAAAAATCTTAACACGTTTTTATATGGATTATATAAATCCATTGGTATCACATGTAGTTGTTCGATCAGGATATAAATGAGTTTTGTACGGAAGAGAAATGAAAACAATGAAATTACAAGATACAAAGTTCGACTCGCACTTTAAGGTTTCCCACAAAGACCTGAAATTGATTACGATGAAACATATTCTCCCATAATAGATACTAATTTTTTCATATTTTTAAATAGTTTGACTGTATTCTAAAGGCTCAACATGTGCTTTATGAGTTTAGTAATTGTCTATTTGTATGATTCATTTAATAGTGACATATATATATATATATATAGAGTCTACTTGAAGTATGGAGAAAATGTTCTTTGTTCTAAAGTAGCATATTTTAGTAAAATTGGAATATTAACCTATCTTGCAAACTGCACTTGACTTGATATATATATATATAGAGTCTACTTGAAGTATGGAGAAAATGTTCTTTGTTCTAAAGTAGCATATTTTAGTAAAATTGGAATATTAACCTATCTTGCAAACTGCACTTGACTTGATATATATATATATAGAGTCTACTTGAAGTATGGAGAAAATGTTCTTTGTTCTAAAGTAGCATATTTTAGTAAAATTGGAATATTAACCTATCTTGCAAACTGCACTTGACT